TGGCTGTAGAAACTGAGGCTATAGTATTTAATCAGGAGACTTCTTTCTGTGATGGAATGAGGGTAAATTTCAGCTAGTCCTAGAGTGCTGTGAATCTCCTATAACATGTGATAGCATGGGAATGGGTACTTTGGGTTAGGTGTAGGTCTTTCATCTGTAGTAAGGCCTTCCACATCCGCGTGACAGGAGTCATCCTGTGCAGTCTAGGAAACAGGGCTTAAAGCAGAAGGAACATCAAATACTTCAGACCCAGAGAGGAAAAGAATATTCTTTGACACAGTGACTAAGGTAGTTGAATGACAGGAAATTAGAGGAAATCATGTGAGGTATGTGAGGTGGTTTGAAAGGGATAGAGGTGGTTCCGTGTACGGTTTTCTCGTGTGGATGTGAGCGCATGTGTGGATGTGGAGGTTAGAAGTCAACTTGTAAGAGTCAGGTTTTTCCTTCTGTTGGGTTTGAAAGCCCAAACTCAGGGAGTCAGGCTTGGTGGAAGCACCTTAACCCTACTAGACTAGCAATGCTTCATGTGATGTCCCCATTCAGTGACAGAATAAAAGGAGAAAGTCCAAGTGAAGTACCTGGGCTGGAGTGCCGAGAGGAGAGAGAGAGAGAGAGAGAGAGAGAGAGAGAGAGAGAGAGAGAGAGAAGGTTCATTTAAGGCAGAACTAGTAGACATTTCTGGCAGGTCTCATGTGGGATGAAGAGATCAGTGGAGGATTATAACTGGGTTTTGGGCTTAAGTGATGGTAAAAATTGGGTCAGGAGCAGATGTCAAGAATTTCCATAGGAAAGGCCATGAAATTTCAACAATGACAAAAGACATGTCTTTCTCCTGTTACCTAGCACTGCCTTTCCATGCCCCCACCCCCAACTCCCAGAGAGTAGCCCTATGTTGCTCACCCTTGGACTACAACCTCAGCCTAAGTGTCAGGATTTAACTCAGAGTTACTCAGAGACCTGTTGAGTCTTGTTTCTTCCAGTAGAAGCAAGAGTGAAATACAGTTTAAAAAAAAAAAATGGGGCTGGAGTGATGGCTCAGTGGTTAAGAGCACTGACTGCTCTTCCAGAGGTCCTGAGTTCAGTTCACAGCAACTGCATGGTGGCTTACAACCATCTGTAATGGGATCCAATGCCCTCTTCTGTTGTGTCTGAAGAAAGCCAGAGTGTACTCATATACATAAAAAAATAAATTAAACAACAACAACAACAAAAACCCCTTAGCCTTCTATATATCTGAGATAAATGTAAAGGTGCATGTTACCAAACCCAGTGAGTTAAGTTTGATCCCTGGACTCACATGGTGGAAGGAGAGAATCAGCTTTGTTCTCTGACCTCCACACATGTAACCCTGGCACCTGTACTCACCTCCCTCCTCCCAATAATAAAAATGTAATAAAAATTTTTTTCAGTCTTTGCTGTTGCTTCCTTATGTGACCTTGAGCAATTACTTCCCAATTTGTAGTTTCCTCATATCTTGAGTGGCACAAGAACTTGGTGGACAAGAACAATAAATGAACATTTCTTTCGGGCCATGTGTTCTATGTGGATAGTGAGTAGTTTACTCCCTATTATGAATGAACGCAGGTGCTTTTGCTTTCTCCCTCTTACAGATAAGGAGAGGTTTAGACGGTTAAGTAGCTTGCTCATGGTCATAGACTAGTACATGTAGAAGCTGAGTTTCAACCCTGTCAGTGTGACACCAAAATCATGCGCCTGTTTTTTGTTTGTTTTAAATTATTATATGTATATAGGTGTTTTGCCTGAGTGACCATCTCAGCACCACATGTATACAGGGCCATAGAGGCCAGAAATCGGCATCAGAGTCCTGAAACTCAAGTTACAGATGGTTGTGAGCCACCATATGTGTGCTGGGAATTGAACTTAGTTCTCAGGAAGAACAGCCAGTGCTCTTAACCTATTAGCCATTTCTTCAGCTCCAGGGTCTGGGTACTTACCTAGACTTTTTCCTTTAATGTACCTGGTAGCAGACAGGGTCGCATGTAGTAGAGGCTGGCCCTGAACTCCTAATTCTACCTCCCAAGTGATGAATTAGAAGGCATATGTGTATTCTGATACATCTTATTTCTGTCCTTCTTCACCATCAAATAATCTCAACATCAGTCAGGCTGAGAAGCAGGAGGATCTCTTGTGAGTTTGAAGCCAGCCTGGTCTACATAGTTCAAAACAACCAGTGCTTTGCAAAGAGACCCTGTCTCAAAAAAACTAAAACTGAAATAACATCTGGGCTAGGGAGATATCTCAACTTATATACAGCATACAAGGACTGGAGTTTGATTCCCCACCTAAAAAGCCAGGCCAGAGGCAGTTGTAGTGCCAATGCTACGGAAGTGGAGGTAAGTGGACTCCTTGGAGTTGGTGGCCAGCCCACCAAGGTTACCTGCTGAGTCCTAGGTCAGGGAAGGACACTGTCTGAAGAGTAAGTTATCTTCTGGCCTTTATATCCGTGGAACACACAACACATACACACAGACAGAATATAAACAACAGGGTAGGGACGTGATTCATAAGTAGAGTGCTTGCTTAGCACGCAGTGGACCCTGACTTGTATCCCAAGCACTTCCCCTCCCAACCCCCCCCCCCCCCAAATTAAAACCTCCCAAAAGTATCAGCATCTGAGGCTGAGCCTTGCCTCACAATCTATGATGTGCATTTTGTAACTCTTTTGCTTGTTCCATATTTTCTCTTTAGAATTCTCATGGCAATCAGTAGGATTTTATGTTGTATCTAACTTCCAGCACTCTGTTTTCAGGTGGACATCTTCAATAAGGAACTACTGCTAATCCCCATCCATCTGGAGGTGCACTGGTCCCTTATCTCAGTTGATGTAAGGCGACGTACCATCACCTATTTTGACTCACAGCGAACTCTAAACCGCCGCTGCCCTAAGGTTTGAGGAGGTTGTGGGGAAACAAGTAGTAAAAATGTAGGGAGATCAGGTAGCCAGCCATTTCCAGGAAGAAGTATAAGCTTGACGTTCGAGGAGTGCGTGGGTCTGATGTTTTCCCACAGTATACTCTGTTGCACTGGTAAGTGATTAAGGTATTGCTTTCTCTTTCCTTGCCCACATAGCATATTGCCAAGTACCTACAGGCAGAGGCAGTCAAAAAAGATCGACTGGACTTCCACCAGGGCTGGAAAGGTTACTTCAAAATGGTGAGTTTCCAGAGAGAAATGGAATAATTTGATAGGAGGCAGCAACTGAATTCATAACCTCTGGGAGTATCCAAGTGAACAGATTCTTGCTTTGTATTCCCTAGAATGTGGCCAGGCAGAATAATGACAGTGACTGTGGTGCCTTTGTGTTGCAGGTAAGCAAATAAGGTCTTCTTAGCTCTCACGTCAGTAGCTTAGGGGTTGTTGGTGGCTCTTGCTTCAGTTGGTTCAGCCAGATTGCACAGCAGGGAGTACCTTTATGTGTGAGAGCACAGAAACCCTGGTTTCATTTGTCTTCTTCAGGCCTGCCTTTCCCCATCCTCAGTTGGGGCTGGTTCTCTGGCTTTGGTCCTGATATAGAGGCTTCCCAACATCCTTCTCCCAACTAAATATATTCTCCCATTTAAACACCAGATATATTATGTAGGCTTGTTGAAGCCCCAGGCTTAGACTCTAATGCCAGTCTGTATGAGAAACAGTTTTTTCCTGAAAAATTATTAAGACGTATTTTGTGTGGAATGTGTAGCACAGGTCCTGACTTAGGAGGGATGCTCAGTAAATCCTTCTCATGGCCTGCTTTGTTAACACCCAGTACTGCAAGCACCTGGCCCTGTCTCAGCCGTTCAGCTTCACCCAGCAGGACATGCCCAAACTCCGTCGTCAGATCTACAAGGAACTGTGTCACTGCAAACTCACTGTGTGAGCCTCATACCCCAGACCCTTAGCCCATCAATGGGAAGGGGAACAAGGGAGAACCTTCCCAAGAAACTCCAGTTCCTTTTTGTTTCTCTACCCAATTCCTTTTGGATTTTCATATTTAAATGTTTGATTTCTGTATTTTGTTTTCTTTGCGAGTATGGTGATTTCTGATGGGAAGGGAATGGCCACATAAAAGCCCCTTTCTCCCATTCTAGGGGAATGTTGCCTTGTGACCTAGGTGGAGCATCCATTCCTCCTTCCATGTTCAGAGGGCAGGAAAACTGTGGGGGTGGTGGGCGTGCAAAGGGATTACTGCCTGCCAGATCTTCAAACTTTTTTTTATATATATAAATATATATAAAAATGCCATGGTCCTGCTCTGGTCAATAAAGGATCCTTTGAAGATATGCAAGTGGTGGTCTTCCTTGAGGGGCCTTAAAATAGTGGATGTGCTTTATCTCAGGCTTCTTCCAGCTAATGCTGTTAGCTATCCCCTTTTCAGGTCTTGAAATCTTAGAAACCAGCTTTCTATATATGCCAATCCCGGGGGAGCATATGGCAGTAAGAATATGAATTAAGACTGAAGAATAAGGGAGCCTAGGACAAACTAGGAACAGACAGTGATGGAGTGGGCCAAGATCCCTGACAGCTTATCCCCCTATCCCCTTTAGCCCAATAATGGGGTCCATCCTTTTAATTCTCCAGTCGGGGAAACTTACTATACAATGAGATATCGCTACTGTTTGTCATTCCTGCTAAACAGAACACACCAATCTTTCTTGAACAGAAGAATAAATAAAACTTGTTTCCTGTAAAGGAAACCTGGGTAAAGCAAAGTGGCAGTCCAGACTGCCCGGAAGTCCCCGGAGGCTAAGGCCTCACCCCCGTCACTTGATAGGACCTTCTGAACCACATGACTAAGGCACGATCGCCTCCGCACGTGTAAAGGTGCTGGGTTCCAAGATGGCTGCCCCGCCGCGAGGCCCGACTTAACTATGTCACTTCCGCACCAGCGAGAAAGGCGGGCCCTTCAGCCAATGAGGCTGCAGGGCGGGGCTCGGCCATGATAGGCTTTCAAACTACCCAATAGGGCGTCCGAACTAAAGCGCCTACAAAGTAACGTCACCTCGAGTTGCAGAGCGCCGGCGGGCGGGGCAGAGGCGGCCAAGCCAATGCGATGGCTGGGGCGGGGTCGGACGCTCTATAAGTTGTCGATAGGCGGGCACTCCGCCCTAGATTCTAAGGATCATGTCTGCGAGTCAGGATTCTCGGTAAGAAAGGCATTTGCAAGAGGTTATGACTACTTACCCCTCAGCTCCCTTCCGAAGGTCCCGCCGGGGGGGGGGTGCGGGGGGAACTTGAGAGGCCCATCGCACCAAACCTACCAGGTTGCGGGAGAATCGAGCCGGGAGGAGCGGTCCGGGGACGGGGGTGGGGGGATCCCATGGCCGACGCTGACACCAGTGTGGATATGGGAAAGGACGGCCTGGGTAGGGTGGAGGGCGCGAGGTTCGTCACGAGGCCTCGGCCTGTGGGGGTGCCGTACGCGAAGTTCGGGTAGTGAAAGGCAAGATGAGGTCGCGACATAACGTGGGAAAACGAAGAGGCGGCTGCGGGGCCCGGAGCCGGCTGCTCTGGTTGCCTCCCTATGTCGGGCAGGGCGTGCGCGCGAGGGTTCCGGAGAATTCTGGCGGTACCACTCGCGACAAGCAGGGGTGCCTGGGTCTTCAGCGAGTCCCTTCGTCGCGCTTGGAATGTGGGTCGGGGAAGAAGAAACCGGCCGTTCAGGGTGCTGGTTTTCTTGACGGCCAGGACAGAGCCTAACCCGGAGGAGCGGCCGCGTGAGGCACCAGGAGCCCACCCGGCGCCGGGCGGGCGGGTCCATTTTGCCGCACAAGCCGGGCAATTGGCAAACTGCGGATGGGCAGGTCCACTTTCCTTCGGGGGTGAGCGGCCTGAGGTATGGGAGGGCGACGCCATTTCTCCACGGGGGCGGGCGGGTTGCGGATTGTTCCACGGCTGGGGAGACGCCGCCGAGTGGCGGAGCGAATGAGCACATGGCCGCTTGAGAGGTTCCCCTCCCCCAGTCTGCTTCGCTTGTCTGTTGTGCAATCTCCCCCTTTGCTAGCGCGGCTGGGGCTCATTGTGCGCGAGGCCGCCACCGCCCGCGGCCTCCCACATCCGGGTACTGTGGAGGGGGGCCGGCCGGAGGGAGTGGGGGAGGGCGCGGGCGGCATGACGTGGGGGGAAGGGGACGGCCCACCCACGGAACTTGGAGGTGGAAGGCGGGACTTCCGGTGGCCTTGGTCTTCCGAATGGAGGTGCACGCGCTTTGATCCGACAGGCCCAGAACATGTGGGCCTGGCAGCAAAGGCCGCATCTTGGCGTCGTGTGTGTGTGAATGAACTCCTTTACAGCCCCTTGATCTCAAAGGAGGGTCACTCTAAAGTGCCTCTTGATGGCCCTTTGGGAATAAATGGGAGTTGGATCGGGAATGGGCTGGTGCTTCCATGCTCTAATCAAGGTATGGAACAAAACTAGTGCTTTGAATCAACAGATCCAGAGACAATGGCCCTGATGGGATGGAGCCGGAAGGCGTCATCGAGGTAAGACTAGAATCTGAGGTCGCCATTTTATTATGTCAGAACCGGCACTTCCTTATGGTGACAGTGGTTTTAGATGTCTAGAATGATAGAACAGACCGACCTATAGGGTGGGGTGACTGCAGCTTTAGTGTAAACACGTTACTAAGTTCCTAAGGGTTTTTTTGTAACCTGCAGAGTAACTGGAATGAGATTGTGGATAGCTTCGATGACATGAATCTCTCAGAATCCCTCCTCCGTGGTATTTATGCCTATGGTTTTGAGAAGCCCTCTGCCATCCAGCAGCGAGCTATTCTTCCTTGTATCAAGGGTAAGACTCTTGTACTCGGGCTAGATTTAGGCTGTCCCAACCTGAATAAAGTGGTATAGAGTTGATGGTGGGCATAGAAACCAGGAGGGAACAAATTATCTTTCCTAGCTTCTTGGTTCTTAGTTAGTACATAGGTCATACATTGGATGCAGGGCTCTTTCTACTTCATAAGCTTTGTTTTTATGGCTTTGCCTCTAAGCAGCTGTGTAGTGAGTTCATAATGTTGTGGCAAAAGTTTGAGTCCTACCATTTTGTTTACAACCTTGTTCGGCCGTTACTGGTGTCATGAAGTAGGGTCTCAACTGTTCTTTGAGCCCAGAATGCAGGCCTTGTACACATCTAATTCTTGTTTGGTTGTAGGTTATGATGTGATTGCTCAAGCCCAGTCTGGGACTGGGAAGACAGCTACATTTGCCATATCAATTCTGCAGCAGATTGAATTAGATCTAAAGGCCACTCAGGCTTTGGTTCTGGCACCCACTCGTGAATTGGCTCAACAGGTAAGATTGGCATGCTTCCTATTCTGTAGGCCTGGTTTAAGAGTGAGAGAAGAGTCTGCCAGTGGTGATACAGGCAGGTGGAGCACTGCAAGTTCAAGGCTGGCCTGGTCTACAAAGCTAGTTCCAGGACAGCCAATACTGTGGAAAAAGTTTGTCTTACGACAACTAGAAGGTCAGATACATTCTCTAATGCCACTGGGTCTTCTTGTGACAGTTAAGATTTGTTGGACTAATTACTAACAACTTACCTACCAACAAAAAATACTTTTTTTTTTTTGTTTTTTTTTTGAGTCAAATAGGAAGGGGGAAGAGTCAATTTGAGTCAAATTGGCAGTCTTGGCTGGGCAGGCTTAGCTGTTTTATGACACACATACCCCTGGCAATGGGCAAAGAGGCACCTTGTTGGTGGTGTTGCTCTTATATCAGTCAGGGGCAGAGCAGATGGCAGCCCTTTGTTCATCCTAGCTTGATGCCTGGCTTGGTGGCCAAAGCTGTTTCATGCCTAGGGCACATGAAGCCCTGATACTACTGTTAGTATTAGTCAAGCCTAGTGATTACTGTGAAGCAAGCATCTGGGCACCAATGTAAGCAAGAGGTTCTATTAGATTGACATTTTAGATCCCCGTGGATCTGTCATTATTTTGGGGGATTTTGTTTGCATATGGGCTGGATGTTGGCTCAGTAGTGGAAGACTAAGTCTTGATTCTGTGGCAGGGATGGAATAAATAATCACACGTGGGTATAGGGCTATGTCTATAATCCTAGCCTTTGGAATGTGGTAGGTAGTAGGGTGGAGAATGAGTTCTTAGCTTTTGTAGAACTGGCCTGGTTTTTACAAAGTGGACTCATTTCTCAGTGTAATAATTCCTGTCTCTTAAGGAAAAGACTAAACTAACTCAATGGTACTGCCCAAGTTAATGTAGACATCCTTCTGCATTTAGATACAAAAGGTGGTTATGGCATTAGGAGACTACATGGGTGCGTCTTGTCATGCCTGTATTGGGGGCACCAACGTGCGTGCTGAGGTGCAGAAGCTGCAAATGGAAGCTCCCCATATCATCGTGGGCACCCCTGGCCGGGTGTTCGATATGCTTAACCGGAGATACCTGTGTGAGTACCACATAACAGTTGCTGGGCACTTTCCGACATTTCATTCCCTCCTTGGATGTGAGTTATCCTTTAGTTTTGATTGCGTTGCTCTGTGATGAACCCCATGCGTGTCATCTGAGCCTAACTTCCCTGTTACCTTAGCCCAGGTAGTGTTCTACTTACCAGGGCTTTTGTCTGGCCTATCAGGGAAGCCGTGGGCAAAGGATCAGTCCTTGTATTCTGAGAGCAGACTGGCTGCCCTTTCCCTGCCCTCTTATCAAGAGACTTCAATGTATTTGTCTGATTACTATGTGTTGTTTTTTCTGCCTTCTAGCCCCCAAATACATCAAGATGTTCGTACTGGATGAAGCAGATGAGATGTTAAGCCGTGGGTTTAAGGATCAGATCTATGATATATTCCAAAAGCTCAACAGTAACACACAGGTCAGTGTTGACAGGGACACAGTGGCATGGCTGGGTTGTGATTTGAGGAATGTACAGCACCCACATTGCTGGTCCATTTTTCTCTAGGTAGTTTTGTTGTCTGCTACAATGCCTTCTGATGTCCTTGAGGTGACCAAGAAGTTCATGAGAGACCCTATTCGGATTCTTGTCAAGAAGGAAGAGTTGACCCTGGAGGGTATCCGCCAATTCTACATCAATGTGGAACGAGAGGTAGGGCCCAGTGCAGGGGGCGGACCTGGTAGTGAGTTGTTGGTTATGACCTGACTGATATTTCTGGATCTCCAGGAGTGGAAGCTTGACACATTGTGTGACTTGTATGAAACACTGACCATCACCCAGGCAGTAATCTTCATCAATACCAGAAGGAAGGTGGACTGGCTCACTGAGAAGATGCATGCCCGGGATTTCACTGTTTCCGCCATGGTGAGTTTTTTCAGTCTGTTAATAGCTATACAGCTATGCATGTGTGTGTCTGTGTGTTAGGAGCCTTGTGCCAGCTGCTCCTCTGTGCCTCTTTTCCAGCATGGAGATATGGACCAAAAGGAACGAGATGTAATCATGAGGGAGTTCCGATCTGGCTCTAGCAGAGTATTAATTACCACTGACCTGTTGGTAAGTAGATATGGTCTTTTAGGGAAAGAAAGGGAAAAGTTAGTCCAAGGTGATTCCCTCTCCAAAGGGCTGACTGTGCCCTTTTCAGGAACGTAGCAACTTGGAAGAAAGCCAGGCATGTCCAAGGTCTCTGGTGAACAAGGAATATTTGTTTCCTTTGCCTTCCTTTGGCTGCCTACATGTATGACTACTTAATTAGGATAGATAGTATCCTCTGATGGCTGTTCTTTCTTGACTTAGGCCAGAGGCATTGACGTGCAGCAGGTCTCCTTAGTCATCAATTACGACCTTCCCACCAACAGGGAAAACTACATCCACAGGTAAGTGTAGGTCTGACAAACCAAACACCCCCTGTGCTGAAACCCTAGTGATCCTCTCCCAGTTCACTATCCTTTTACTTCCCTCAGAATCGGTCGAGGTGGTCGATTTGGCCGGAAAGGTGTGGCTATTAACATGGTGACCGAAGAAGACAAGAGGACTCTTCGAGACATTGAGACTTTCTACAACACCTCCATTGAAGAGATGCCCCTCAACGTTGCTGACCTCATTTGAGGGGCTGTACTGCTGCCTGGCCCTAGCCCGGGGTTCAGTCCTGGGGGTGGGCTAAGGAGCAGCTGGAGGGGGGAGGGAAGGGAGCCAAGGGATGGACATCTTGTTTTTGTTTTGTTTTTTTTTTTTTGTTTTGTTTCAGTTTTTTTTTTCTCTCTCTCTCTCTCTTTGAATAAATGTCACTTTTTGAGGCAAAAAGGAGGAACCGTGAACATTTTAGACACCCTTTTCTTTGGGGTAGGCTCTGCCCCAGGCGCCGTCTCCTTCCCCCCTAAACACTAATGCATTTCCCTAACTTAGTCACCTGTTCCTAAAGGCTTTCCTTACTCCCAGCCAAATCTCCAAAAGTGAGTCTCTAGGGGCTAAAACATGGCTGGCCTCATTTGCTGGACCAAATCTACAGGGAAAACCCCTGAATGAGGTTGTCCAGGGAATTGTCCCCAGGTGAGGGGAGCAGGGGAGAGAAAATGGTAGCCATTTTTACATTGTTTTGTATAGTATTTATTGATTCAGGAAACAAACACAAAATTCTGAATAAAATTACTTGGAAACTGCCTGTTTGGGCTTCTTGTTTCTTCCCTCTCCTGCTACTAGTGGGATCAGCTGCCCCTGCACTAGTTCATTACTACTGAATTTGCCATGTTGCTTCTTGAAATACCAGATGACCCACATTACTGAAATTTGCTATTGATGGCATATAATGAGCCTCAGTGTGTTAGACACAAGTGTCACATGCCTCCAGCTTTGAGAAGGCAGTAATGGGTTTAAGGGGTCAGCTGGTTATTTAGGCCTAACCCAGATGTGGGTGCTAATTGTCTGCCCTGTGGCTGCAAGGAGAGATGCTTTTCTGTAGCTCTTTCTGTTCTGGAATTTTATATAGGCAAGGCTGGCCTCAGATCTGCCTACTGCCTCCAGTGCTGGGGTTTAAGTACATGGGTGGGGTTGGATTTCTTAACCAGTGAGGAAAGAGCTTCCCATTGCTTCTCATTGCTTGGTAAACTCCCAAGTAGGGCAAGTTTTGCTTAGGTAAGTTCCTTGTGAGTCAACTGCCTCATTCTCACGTGGTAACTAAGACTGCTGCCCACTGAAAAGGCCACTGCCAATCACAGCCTAATTGTGAAAACCAGTGACTTGAGAGGGTGGCTAGAGCTGAGGTGTCTGAGTCAGATTTGGGGTGGGATTATTTTAGTTGAGGGAAGTAAGACTTCTTTCATTTCCCCTTCCAAGAGAAGGCAGAGGGGATTGTGTTGAAGTAACTGGTATAGCCTAGCTGGACTGTGAGCAGCTCTACCATGAGGCTCCCTGTGTGTCTGATCTTGTTGGGACTGCTTATAGGTAAGGAGAAATGGGAGGTGGGAGTGTGGGAGCTCCTGGGCAGGTACCTGGACCTGGGATGCCAACCAGTTTCTTACTGAAAGCCCAAGGAACAGGGAAAGACTGTCCTCACAAAAAGGCCGCTACTCTCCTGCCATCCTTCACGGTGACACCTACAACCACAGAAAGCACAGCAAGCCCTACGACCAGCCACAGGTCCACCACTACCAGTCACGGAAATGTCACGGTTCATACCAGCTCCGGACCCACACCTGTCACTTATCACCCTGCCACCACCACCAGTCATGGGAATGCCACTGTTTCTCCCACCACAAATGGCACTACTAGTCCAGGATTCTCCACTGTTGGCCCTCACCCTGGACCACTTCCACCCTCGCCAAGTCCTAGTCCAAGCTCCAAGGGGGCTCTTGGAAAATACACATGGACCAACGGTTCCTGGCCTTGTGTTCAGCTCCAAGCCCAAATTCAAATTCGAATCCTGTACCCAACCCAGGGTGGAAGAAAGGTAAAGCTAAGGTAGTGGGGCTTAAAGAGGGCAAGAGGCAAGTCCTGGGCTGATTCAGAAGGAAGGAGGAAGAGCAGAGGAGGGGGGGATAAACTGGATGGCCCATCCATGTGATTTCAGACCAACTATTCTTTCACTTCTGCAGGCCTGGGGCATCTCTGTATTGAATCCTAACAAAACCAAGGTGCAGGGGGGCTGTGGCGGTGCCCACCCCCAGCTGCCTCTATCATTTCCTTATGGACAGCTTACCTTTGGATTCAAACAGGTATATAGCTTGAATGTGCCTTCATTCTTCACTCTTTGATATCCCGTTCCTACACCCCCTAAGCCTCCTTCCTTGCTCTGTGAACATGGATGCTTCTGTCCTTGATGCCTTGAGTCTTTCTGTTCACCTCAAGGCCCTACAGAGTCAGAACCAGAGTACAGTCTACCTCTACTACATGGCAGTGGAATACAATGTGTCCTTCCCACAGGCAACACGTGAGTAATCTCATTACCACACTAAAAGTCTAGGCTGGGAGTACTGGGGTGGTGTTGGGGACTTAGGAGTCAGGACTGGATTTGACTCTTAATTACTAATTACTTCAGAGTGGACATTCTCCGCGCAGAATTCATCTCTTCGAGAGCTCCAAGCTCCCCTGGGCCAAAGCTTCTGTTGCAGAAATACAAGCATCGTTCTTTCTCCAGCTGTCCACCTTGACCTGCTCTACCTGAGGCTACAGGCTGCTCAGCTGCCAGACAAGGAACACTTCGGGCCGTGTAAGCCCTACCTACCTCTTCCTTCTTTTTCGTCTCCCACTGCACTGGAAACCTTTCCCAGAACTCTTTCTAAACCTCAGTCTCCTCTACAAAACTGCCTATTTCCCCTTTCTTTACTGCTCTAAAATGGGGTTGAACTCCTCAACCTTTCTTCACCCCCTGACTCTTGCGTCCCCCTCCCACCGTTAGCCCATCCACCACCGCAGCAATTCTCAATGGCCCCATTATTCTGCCAGGTTTCTCTTGCACCAGTGACCAATCCCTCTTGCTGCCTCTCATCATTGGTCTGGTCCTCCTTGGCCTCCTCACCCTGGTGCTCATTGCCTTCTGCATTACCCGGCGACGACAATCACAATCAACCTATCAGCCCCTTTGAGCATCTGCTCCAATCCACTATGTCAGCCACCAAGAAGCACCCTTGTTTATTCAACATGCAACTGACTCATCAGCGTTATCTTCCTTCTCTGTCTCTAAGAACAAAATAAAGAGATTTTATTATAGATGTAGGGAGTTAATAAACATGAATGGTACCCACTCCCTCATGAAGAGTACAAAAACTTAATGAAATCTTTGCTCTTGGCTTCCTTTGTCCTGCCAGGATTAAAAGCCACGAGTTTCTTGTCATATGCCTTCCTGTGCCTTCCCATGGTTGAGTCAGCAAGAGACAGCTGGCAAGAAGAGACAAAAATACCAGAGAGTGACCAAATGTCTTCACGGGTTTATCCCTCAAGGCCCTGCAGCTGCTGGTGAAGCTGCCAAAACTCCTTCCTCCCTCTGGGGCTGCCTATTCCCTTAACATAATGCATCATTCCATCTTGATACCCTGTTGCTGACCCTCGTGCGCAGTTAGAGGTACAACACAACCAAAATATGAGTAGGTGACTGTATTATTTTGAAAGTGGCTACTGAACAATGAGATTCCATGTCCATTGTAGCCAGGGCTAGTTCACTGAGGAGCCCACTGGTGCAGCAGGTGCTCTTCTATTAAGGTTGTGCTACTAGGAACAGCTTCAGGCCTTGCAAGGGATGCGCTTGATCCCTGAGTACCAGGAGGGGATGGTGCCACTTACAATCTGCCCCTGTCCAGATTCTAAGAAAGGGATTTTCAGATGGCCATCCACTGTGCCAAAATCAAGTATAAATTCTACTGTTTATAGTAGGGCATGGAACAACGGGTGGGAGCCAAAGATGGGTGCCCTTCCAATTAAACAGTCCCATGAGGTTACAGAAATCCTTGGACGAGACCTCCACACAGCAGAGGTACATCTGACAATATACCTTGCCCAGCAACTACCAACCCCACTTCCCCCAAAGAACAAGGAACGGAGAAACAGTTTAGGAGTGCCCTACAGTATGAACCAAGATGTCTCGCCCCTCTTCTGCTTCACTATCACCCCCTTCACATCTGGACAGAGGAAGAAGCAGGGGACTAGGAAGAAGGCCCAGGTCAGAATGGCCCATTTCCACCTCTATTTCTCCTGGAGAAACCAAGAGGAAAAGGTAAGAGAGCTGCAGCGCCTCCACTAACGCCATTTTGAAGACTCGAACTCTTCCTTTCCAACTTCAAACAATATAAAGTTGGCAGAGAAAAGACAAGATGGCGCATATGCAGGAGGGACAGAGAAAGGGGAGGAATAAACCTTGCTTTCAGAAGGGAGAACGTAAACAAAAGTGCGGAAGTTCTAACTGCGCAGGCGTAAAACTCGACACGCTTTAAAATTCGAACGTCAAGGCGCGTAGAAAACCCAGTTTGTGAAGGAGAGACGTCTCCCCTTCCAGAGGGCTAGCAAGCTTTTAGGAAAGGAAAGCGCCGCCTTGGCCTCGGGGAGAACGAGGCGGAGTGTACTCGGCGCGCATGCGCGGCGCAGGTCAATGGCCGGGTTATCCGGCCTGGCGGAAGCTATCTTTCCAACATGGCGGGCGAGGCCGACGGACCGTTCAAAGGGGTGCTGGTGCCAAGTCTTTTACCTGAGAAATGCTACGATCAACTCTTTGTCCAATGGGACTTGCTTCATGGTGAGTTTTATTCAGCCTTCAAAGTCTAGCTCAAGCAGCCTTGGACCGTAAGTTGGCGTGACAATACCGATTAATGTTTCACGCGAAGCCGGGCCGAAGGCGCTTCTGAAGAGGGCGGAAGTGTTTTGGGCCCTGCATAGGAAAAGTGCCATATTTGGGCATGTAGGGGTGTCGCCCGAAAAAAATAGTTAAATTTGTGTTTTTCAATCTGGGAAGTTCTTACCCCACCCTCATCCCTTTCTGGGCCCCACCCTCATCCCTTTCTGGGCTGGGAATCAAACTCAAGGACTGCTAACCAAGCTCTATACCCAGGCTGAAAAACTCTTTTTTTTTTTTTTTTTTTTTTTTAATAAAACAAAATTAAAATCCCAGCCAGGCATATAGACCTCTTTTCATCCCAAGCACTCAACTCACAGAGGTCCACGAATTTTTTTTTGTTTGTTTGTTTGTTTGTTTTTCGAGACAGGGTTCTCTGTATAGCCGGGGCTGTCCTGGAACTCACTCTGTAGACCAGGCTGGCCTTCAACTCAGAAATCCGCCTGCGTCTGCCTCCCAAGTGCTGGGATTAAAGGCGTGCTCTACCACTGCCCGGCTCTCTCTTTTTTTTTTTTTTAACCTCTTTCCAGTACCAACTTCTGGAATTTACTATGTGGCACAGACTGCCCTTGAACTGGCAGCAGTTCTCCTGCCTCAGTCACCAGAGTGCTGGGAGTATAGCACTTTTTCCTTTCCTTTCTTTTTCTTTACAAGGCAAGTTCATGGCCAAGGGTTACATTAGATATCAAAGACTTTGGTAAGCCTTTTCCAAGTCTCTGTTCTAACTGCATTTTGACTTAGAATAGTCAAGACTCCCTGCTGGGCCAAATGCCCACCAGGTCAAAGATTCAGTGCTAGAGAACTTGCCAGGACCAGGGTTTAGGTTTCGTAACCTCCATCGCTGCGATCTATTCAAACTCAGCCCTTGACCCAAGGGTTTGAAAAAAAAAAAAAGGAGAAGAGAAATTGCCAGGAACAGTGTCCCACACCTTTAATCCCAGCATTTCGGATTGCCAGTTCACAGAGGCAGGAGGATCTCTTGAGTTCAAGGACAGCCTAGTCTACAGGGTGAGTTCCAGGACCGTCAGGGCTACACAGAGAAGCCTTATCTGGAAAAAAACAAGATAAGCAAATGATAGAGGTAGTGGAGGAAGAGGGAGGGACAAAAGTCCTGGAAGAGTGGGGATGACCCAGAAGGTTCAGGAATGTGTGATGTGGGGATTGTCTTTGGAAGGAGGAGCATTTAAAGTGGGCCATCCATTACTGAGAAGAAAGAGAAAAGAGTCAGGGAACTCCTAAGCAGTGCCCACATAACTGAAAAGCAAAGGCAGGCAGACCTGGGAGGCTGCGTGCTTATTTGGGGCTGGAGGGGTGGCTTGCGAGGCTGGTGACCTGAGTTCAGTTCCTGGAACCTACAAAAAGGCACGAATGGAGAACTGGCTCCACAAAGTTGTCTCTGACCTCCACACGTGTACCTATGTGCTCACATACAAAATATATTTTTATGTAGATTTTTATTTGTATTTTTAAAATTTTGTGTGTACATGTATACCTACACATGAATGCACGAGCCTGAAGATGCTAGAGGCATAAGATGCCACCGGAGCTAGAGTTACAGGCAGTTGTGAGCCACCTGGCATGGATGCTAAAAGTTGAATTGAAATCTTCTCTGCAAGAGCAAAGACGTGCCGGGTGGTGGTAGCGCATGCCTTTAATCCCAGTACTTGGGAGGCAGAGGCAGGCGAATTTCTGAGTTCGAGGCCAGCCTGGTCTACAGAGTGAGTTCCAGGACAGCCAGAACTACACAGAGAAACCCTGTCTCGAAAAAAAAAAAAAAAGGCGTGCACCACCACCACCCGGCTCTACTAATTTTTTTTAAAGATTTTTGTTTTATGTACATTTCTGTTTTGCCTAAATGTATGTGTGAGAAAGTCAGATGCCCTAGAAATGGAGCTAGAACTGTGAACTCCATGTGGGAGTCGAACCCAGGTCCTCTGGGAGAACAGTCAGTACTCCTAATCACTGAGCTATCTCTCTAGCCTCATTCATTCATTTAGTTTCTCTGTATAGCCCTGGCTGTCCTGAACTTGTAGACCAGGCTGTCTTTGAACTCATAGAGATTTGCCTGCCCTTCTCTCCCTAGTGCTAGGATTAAATGTGTATACCACCTGACAATAGTTTTTAAATATTTGAGATGGGGTCTATGTAATTCTGGTTTGCCTTGAACTCAGAGATTAAATGAGATTAAAGGCCGGTACTATACAACATGCATTCCTAATGACTTTTTTAAAAAGTCATACTTTCTTAGTACATTTTATTAGGGGAGCCATGCATGGAAGGAAGTTCTGGAGTTGTCTCTGTCTATCCTATCATGTGGATCCTGAGTTAAAGAGGGATAAAAGTTAGCTTTTCAGTTACACAGGCATTGCTCAAGAATTCTCCTGACCCTACACTCTACTCAGGGACTGGATGGCCCACTTACAATGGTCCTCCTTCCAAAGACAAATGCCCACACCATACATTTCCGAGCCTTCTTAGTTATTCTGACCCTTCTTCAGGGGACAACCATACTCTTTCATTAGCTGTCTTGTCAGCCCTAAAAAAATAGTTTAGACATGTATCTATAGGAAATAGAAGGGGGTGGGCAGAAAAGCAGTCACAAAGAAGCTGTTTTGACAGCACACCTAGTCTGAATATAAGATGTTTGTAGCAAGAAGGATGTCTGCCCCATCATCCCCCAGAGACTCACTCGTGTGGTGGTCGTGCTAAGGGTGAGGAGAGAGGGGAACATCTCCCAAGAGCACTTCCAACCCTCACCTGGGCTCCAGAGGCCTCTTTGCTTCCTTTTTCTCTCTCCTCAGTTCCCTGCCTCAAGATTCTCCTCAGCAAAGGCCTTGGGCTGGGCATCGTGGCCGGGTCACTTCTTGGTATGTACAGTTCCTTCTGTCAGAGTAAAGGGAAGGGTGTTGAAAGGCTGATGCCTAGGGCTGGGGATAGTATGCTTTTTCCTCAGCCATGCTGCTTTTTCCACAGTAAAGCTGCCCCAGATATTTAAACTCTTGGGAGCCAAGAGTGCAGAAGGACTGAGTCTCCAGTCAGTAATGCTGGAGCTGGTGGCACTGACTGGAACTGTGGTCTACAGCATCACCAACAACTTCCCCTTCAGGTGAGGGTCCATTCTTCACCCTCAAAGCCAAATCCCCACAATTCTTTTAAACTATTTATTTGAGGTGGGAGGGGTCACAGAACAACTTGTACGAGTTGGTTCTCTCCTTCCAGTGTGTGGGTCCTGGGGCTGGAACTTAAGTAATCAGGCTTGGAGGCAAATATCTTTACCCGCTGAGGTATTTCTCCAGCTCCAGTGCACACAAGGAGCATTCTCTGAGTGAGCCAGGCATGGTGGGGGTGGGAGGCTGGAAAGCATAGTAGCCAGGAGAACTGGGCCTGATGGGCGATGGAGGCTTTCCCTGCCTTTTTCCAGGCCTGCCTTTTTCCCTCCCAACTCTTGACTCTGCAGCTCTTGGGGTGAAGCACTGTTCCTGACACTCCAGACAGTTACCATCTGCTTCCTGGTCATGCACTACAGAGGAGAGAGCGTGAAAGGTGCTGGGGATTTGCTGGAGAGCAGGGATTGTCTTGGGAACCATGTTGGAGGCTCAGGAGGCTCAAGGCGGCTCCTTGTCTTTCTGACCCCCAGGAATCGCTTTCCTTGCCTGCTACGCCATGGTCCTGCTGGCGCTGCTCTCCCCACTCACGCCTCTGGCTGTAGTCACCCTGCTCCAGGCCTTTAATGTTCCTGCTGTGGTGGTGGGGAAGGTGGGTACTCAGAAGCAAAGGGACATGTGTGCAGTAGTGTAGAGGGAGGAACAAGGATGGAGGGCTAGTCTGGGGGTGTGAGGAATAGTGACAGGTCAAGGAGAAGGTTAAGTATCAATTTCTCTCCTAGTTGCTCCAGGCAGCCACTAACTACCACAACGGGCACACAGGCCAGCTTTCAGCCATTACAGTCTTTATGCTCTTTGGGGGCTCCCTGGCCCGAATCTTCACTTCTGTTCAGGTGAGTGCCCCTTCTGCCCTCTAGAGGGCACCAGAACCTCATTCTCAGCTGAGTGGTAAGCTGCCTGCCTTAGAACCTTTCTGGATCTGTGCTGTCTTTAACAGGAAACTGGAGACCCCCTCATGGCTGGAATCTTCGTGGTCTCTTCTCTCTGCAATGGCCTCATTGCTGCCCAGGTCCTCTTCTACTGGAATACAAAGGCTCCCCACAAACAGAAAAAGGAGCAATAGAGCTAAACTAGCTTCTAGAATAATTCCATTTCTACTCATCTGCTGGTGCAATTTAATCATCCTCCATTCCTCTAACTGCAGCCTCCTGAGCCAGGGCTGTGGGAATAGCAAAGCTGCATTCCCTCACTCCAGTGGGCTGGGATCCCTCCTCTTAAGCAGCGGTCTTCTTACTGGAGATGATTCTGCCCTGTCCATTTATTTGGACCAAGGACAGAGCCTGGACCAATGTGGTTGGAAGTTAGTGGCTGCTTCCCTCTGCTGCTCTAGTGGGATGATTTATTGGACCCCAGTTCTAGAGGTGGGGGAGGGGAGGAGTGACTCAGATAAGGGCCTCAGGGTTGGGTGGGGAGGTTCCTGCTGTGGCAGGTCCTGGCGGAAGGGTGTGTGGAGAAGGCACTGGTTGCTGCGGTAGGGAGAAAATAAAAGAGACAATAAAAGACTCAGAAACATTGTGTTTACTGTGGTCTTGTGCATTCTGGTTCGCTTGGAAGATTTTTAGGGCTCTGGCTGGGTCTGTGGAGTTGGCCCTGGATGTCCCTGCCAGTTAAAGGTGGGTTACTGGCATGGGGGCACCAGCAAGGGAAGTAGTATATGGAGTGGCAGAGTCTGGGGCTAGGTAGGGGGGGAAAGAGGTTATTAGCTCCCCCTGGAGCCTAGAATCACTCTGAGGGAAGGTACACGGTGAGGGAGCCTCCGGTCTGCAGTGGGAAGAGCTGTAAAGAAAAACATGGGGTTTGGAGGTTACTATTCTTGGTTGAAGTGATTGGGCAGTGTCCCCAACTCGGTAGGGGACTGGTCTGACCAGTTTGCAGCAGACAGGGTTAGAGCTTGCTATTCAGCTAGCCTTGCTGGGTACAGCAGGCATGGAATGAGACCCTAGGGTGGCTTAGAGAGCAAGATAGTTCTGTTGGGGCACGCTCAGCAGCCGGCTTGCGTGCTGCACGCCTGTTTGCCTCTTGGGGCAGCAGGCCAGGAAGGAGCTACAGGATGGGCTTGGCCTCTCCTTGCCCCCAGGGCTGGGAGAGGAAGCTGGGTCACACAAGGGCCAGCAGCAAGGGGGAAACCGCCATCTGAAAGGTAGAACATATTAGTTGAGGTGGATCGGCCCCTATACTGAACTCTCTGGGCCCAACCTCAGCCTGGTGTGGCTTCTTGGGTGGATTTGGGTTCAACTTTAGCACTCTGGCCTCTGCTCCCACTCAGCTTTCAGCAAGGGGGTTGTGGGGGGTGGGGGGAAGCAGGGAACAGACAGACAGACACAGTTGGGGACTCACGTGTAACTACCAGGCAGGTACGCTGTCGAATAGTTGGGGGGTTGGTAACCAAACCCTCTGCTCCCTTGGGTTGTTGTGTACCCTGGCCCCCAGTGTGGGCCGCCACATGCCAGGCCACCTCCTTGGCTGAAGGGGACAGACCCGGTGCCTGAGTTTTTGCTCTTACGCCGGGGTCGGTACTTGTAGTCGGGATAGTCGCGGAGGTGGCGGGCACGAAGACGCTTAGCCTCCTCCACGAAGGGTCGTTTCTCTTCATCGCCCAGCAGCTTCCATTGAGCACCCAAGCGCTTGGAGATCTCAGAGTTGTGCATCTTGGGGTTCTGCTGCGCCATCTGGCGGCGCTGAACAGAGCTCCACACCATGAAGGCGTTCATGGGTCGCTTCACCTTCTCCAGCGGAAGCCCCCCAGACGCTCCAGGGCTCCCGCCAACCTCCTGCTCCTGAGGGCCTAAGGGCAAAGAGGCTGTGGAAGACGGAGAATCCAAGCTCCAAGTCTCTGCTTGAGAGGAGCCGGGCAGCGCCATGGGTTGGAGGTAGAGCCTCTTGGAAAGGGCGTCTTGAATGCCTTTCTCCCAGAGTGAAGATTGGATTCTGAATATTTGGGTACTTAAGTATCTTCCAGAGCGATTAAATCCAAACTTTGCTCCCAGCAATCAATTGTCACCTCTGGGAAGCTGAATGCAGAATCCTCCTTGTCTGGCACCCCTTACCGGAGAGGTATTCTCTGAAATCTACCAGTCGCTCTTTCTACCCTCTGCTTCGGTGGGACAGGAGTCTTTCGTGGGGTCTGCAACTCTGACTCTGTACAGATCTTGCTCTCCACAAAGTCCCCACAGCTGCCAGGAGCTCACCCAGGTGCGACGGAGGACCTTTCCCACCTGTACTCAGCCTCTAAAGAGCCTGACTCCTCCCCCAGTCCCTCCCAGCGGCTGTGCGGTTCTCTCCACCCTGCTTCTTTCAGCAAACCCAGGTGTCCTGTTCTTCTCAGCCCCTACACCTCCCCTGGGGCACCACACCCCCCAGTACTCCACCCAAGGCCTGGTTGTCAGGCCTAACGGCCACAGTGGTTACAACTGTCTCAGTTCTCAAGCACCAGTAATTTAAAGCAACTTCCTTCCCTAGATGGGCACCAAAGACCCTCAGTGTCAACCTAAGAGGGAGAATTTCCGAAGATCTCATCCCCTACTCAGTACCTTTTCCGGTGCCTGTAGCTCCTTAAACCTCTTCTGACCTGCCCCAGGGGAAAGAAATTCAAAGGTCATTTTTGTTTTCTTAGTCATTCCAGCAGGTACCCAGGCAGAAGAAAACATTCAAGCCACTTCCAGTCCTGAGGTTCCCCATTGCCACTCAGTTATGGCAGGTTTCATCTTTAAACCCAAACCACAGACCTCCATGCCTCTGGACCTGCAGATACACTTTTTAAAAATCTTCATATATTTTAAAAGGTTATGGGTAGGTGGGGCACAAGTGTTACCACTTTGTGTACAGAGGTAGGACAACTTTCAGAAATCTATTCTCTCCTTCCCAGGTCAAGGTAAAGAGGCAGTGGCTATCTTGGTGACTGATTACAGAGAATACAGCTAACCTGAGTTTTCTTTTCTTTCCTTTTTTTATTTTTCGAGACAGGGTTTCTCTGTGTAGTCCTGGCTGTCCTGGAACTCACTCTGTAGACCAGGCTGGCCTCGAACCCAGAAATCCATCTGCCTCTGCCTCCCAAGTGTGGGGATTAAAGGCGTACGCCTAACATGAGTTTTCTTTAACCCCTTGATACTTTAAGTGCAATTATTTGAGACAGGGAGTGCAACATATAGCCCTGTTTGCCCTGCAACTCCTTGTGTAGACTAGGTTGGCCTTGATCAAGATCCATCTGCCTCTGCCTGAGTCCCTTATTTTTTTCCTTTTAAATATAAGACAGGGTTTTTCACTTTTAAGCCCCGTCTGTCCCTGAACTCACTCTGTAGATCAGGCTGCCCTTGAACTCGAGAGATCCACCTGCCTTTAGGACTCCCGAGTGAATGCAGGGATTAAAGGCGTGTGCCCACCACCTCATTCCTTAAGAATCCCATTTTAAGGTTATAGCTTCTCAAAGAAAGCATTCAACATACCCTAAGGCTGGCCTTCACCCCTCAATGCACCTAGCTAGCTCTGGAGTTTCCCAATTTGGATAGACACTACCTCTTTACCCTTGAGGCCCCCAAAAGCTGAGGTCACTGATATGGATTCTGGAGCTAGAGCAACACCAGGCCAGAAATACAATCTGACCCTTCTGAGTTCTAGAGGCCATGGTGAGGAAACCCTATTTTCCCCTCTGCTGAAGGCCCAGCCTGTGCCCCAGGCCCCAGATAATCGGATTAAATAGCCTGCTCAGACTCTCAGCTCCTAGCAGGAACAGCTCCAGCTCCAAGGAGCCTATCCTCCTGTGACTCAGGGCTCAGGAGTGGCCCAATCTTATCATCAACCAAGGGAGGGAAGAAACAGCAAGGTCTGAAGCACAGTCCTCTCTGGCCATGGAGAAGAGAATCAAGGATGCAGCAATTCCCAGAATATCATCTTCCTGACACAGAATGAAGAGCCAATAATAAAGGAGACAGAACAAGAGCTAGGGACCAGTGCAGGTCAGCCCTAGAGATTTCAGCCCAGACTGGTGGAAAAGGCAACATAGGAAACACAAGGCCATTTGGATTTTTTTATTCTCTTTTTAAATACTGTACAGTGAAAAATAAATACGCCTTCTCATCCACCAGACAAGGTATTTCCCAACTCCCTGGGAGACCTTGTCACCCCCTTCATACACACCCCTGGTTCTATTCCAAAACCTTCCCCATGCCTCCCACCCACAAATGCCCTCACTATCCCCGTCTTCCACAGTGATGAGGCCCCAGAAATGGGGGGTACAGGATGGGAGGAGGGATAGCAGGGGAGCCCCCCTGAACTGTCAAATCTGGGTGGGTCAAGGAGCACCCCCACCAACAGGCGGAGAATGGGGGTGTTCAGAGGTCGGGGCATTAGAGGATAAAGGCACATCCAGTCTGATAGGGAAGGGGAGGCTCCCCTCACCCTGGGGGTAGGGTGGACAAGAGGGAGGGGGGTATGACCCTGTTACACACCCCTCCACTAGCTCCTGGAGGTTGGGGGGGGACCCAAGCTGCTGTGCCACCCCCCTCCCCCATAGATAAGAGCAGCTCCAGCGCAGGTCAGTTGGACCCATGAGGGCCATGGTGGTGGGCAGCAAGCGAGATGGAGAGAGGAGGGATGTGGACTGGAGGTTTTATGAAACTCCATTCACCAAACTACCCAACTCCAAGGGGGCAGAGAGCTCCCCATTCTCTGAGGGGCCCTTGGGAAGCTTGCTGACAGAGTCACCCTATAGAAGAAGCAGGAGGAAAACAAAAAGAAAGCAGTTCATAAGTATACAAGATGTAGGCATTGCATCTCACTACAGACACACCTGGAGACCAGTTCCCTAATCTCCCTGTGCTCAAGTCACCATTAGCCTTGTCTCCTGTTTGTGCCTGCTCTGCTCTACCCTCAGCTTAACCTGAACTCTGCCAAATACAGTCAATTCAACATAGCAAAGTTTTCTGTGTATCTGCCCCAAACAAACAAACAAAGTGGGCTAAGCTTTATCTTGATTGTCTACCTTCTGTCCTGAAAGAGAATCCTCTGTGGGTTTCATGCGTTCCAGAGGTGGCCGCTGGCGGCTCTGAGACTCTGCCCGTGAGATGTAGTCAGCCACAGTCACTAGGAAAGACACAGGAACTCAGGGACCCCATGGATCCCACCGAATCCAACCCTGGTTTTCCCAGCAAACGAGGCATCTCATTTTAGCTCTAGGAAGGTTCCAATCCTGTATCTCAGCTGACCTGGTTGGCGGTCTCCACTGATGGACCCATCAGTCCGGTTACCGCGATTACGGCGGCGGCGGCTGCGATTACGTCTCTGGGGTCTTGATTCCTCTTCTGTGGAGTAAAGAAAAGTCATACACTCACCCTCTCATTGTTCATTCCTTCTCACACCTCTAAGAATTCTCCAAGCTCGCCCCTCACCCAGGCCATTCTCTGTCATGTTAGGACCATCAGACTCCAGGCCTCCATCCATGACAGTCCTATCCTCATCAGTACGACGGCGGCGGGACCGGCGACGACGGGCACTTGCTGGAGGAGGTTCACCAGGCTCTGAATCAATTGGAGGCTCTGGTTCAGATGTGTCCAATAGGCTGTAAGGATTGCTGTCTGGATCCTTTAGCACTGGTGAAAAAAAGGAAGTGGCTGGGGAGTCAGGTGGCCACTATTTTCTCATTTAAGCCTGCATACATGACCCCAGCTCTCTCACCTGAGCTAATAGATGACGAGCTGTATCTTGAGGTAGGCCGGGGAACAGGTGGGGGTCCCCTTCCCCGGCCCCCAATTGGCCGTCTCCTGCTTTCTTCTCCACGGCTTGGGGGATCTCTGTCACCAGGTCCTGCTCGATTAGACTCCTCTCTCTTTTCTGACTCTGTCTCAGAAGCTGTGGAGGGGTCTGAGCTGGGGCCTGAAGAACACACAAAGGTTTATTCAAGACACTGGCGCTTGCCTTAGGAGTTCAAACACCACATCCAAACTAGAATTCCTCCTGTCACTCCCAAGGACCCAAGCCAGTTGCGTCACTGCTTTCCTCAGGTCCACCCACCTCCACTGCCCACACAGCTGTCTCACCATAGGCAGGACCACCAGTCCTCCGGCCCCGGCCCCGGGCCCCATAGCTGCCCCCATAGGTTCTGGTCGTGTGCAGGGAAGAGGAAGAGCTCTCGTCTGTGGTATAGCCCGCCTTGTCACTGCCACCACCACTGCCACCCCGTCCACTCCCAGGAGGACGGAAGCCCAGCCCGATCTGCCGAAGCTGTTCATCAATTTGCAGTCTCTCCAAGCGAAGCTGTTCAACCTCCTGGTTGGAAAGATGGACGACAACCCAGGAGAATTAAGAGTAGATAGTCCCCTTCCTCCACCCATATCATGGTCCTGTGCTAGTAAGCTTTCAAGACTTAGGCTTAGGAAGACAAAGGCTTAAAAACAACATTTTGGAATACAGTCCAGAGCCGAAATATCCATCAATGGTCCTGGTTCTACAAAAAGACAAACCAGGCACGACAGTCCCAAAGATTATATACTAGCAGTCCATGCCCTCCTTGCTACCCTAGTTTGTCCTTCTCCCAGGCTTCTGATATGGGTACCTGCAGGTAGGAGAGGTGATACTCTAGCAGTGCCTGGGCATTGCTGATATTCTCTCGGGTGCCAACAAATATGAAGGGAACCATTCCCTGGAGAAAAGACCAACAGGAAGATTAGAAGTCAGGTGTGATGGCACTCATGATCTTAGCTCTCGGGAAACAGAGACAGGAACAGCACAACTTAAAGCCTGAAATGTTAAGCCCACCCTCAAAGAGACAGGATCATAGCATACAAGGGCAAACAAAAGGTTCTGTGCTCTGCCCTCCACAAGTCGCCAGCCCCCAGAAAGCAGTACCTCCTCCCTGGGGTTCTTCTTGTCATTATCACCTTCCACACGAACCCTCACCACACCAGACTTATCCACAATCTCCTGAATCACTTTCCCGTTCTTTCCAATCACTTTGCCTAAATGGATATAGAAAGAATTAGGCTTTTAATTTCTGTTGTTATCATTAAGAAAATAAAATTAAAACTCTTCTATAGACTGTTATTTACATATATTGCACATTTCTCCTGCTTCTAGGAATCTCAAACTTTCCACGAGACAAAAATGCTATATATAATCCCTACAGGTTTATTACCCCCTTTCTTATTTGCATGTCAGACTGTTTATTCTGTCCTTATGTCCAGAGTGGCATCAATTCTACTTAGGTGGCCAAAACTGTATTCAAAACTCTACCACCAGGGCTCTAACTTTAATCCTTTATACACACACTCAAACTCACCAACCAAGTTCCTGGGCACTTGTACAGAGTCCTCAGAAAATTCAAGGTAGCTTCGAGCCTGTCTGCATGCTTCTGGCGTCTATAAAAAGAAAGTAAAATAGAATCTGGATCTCTCTGCCATTCTCTGACTTTGGAGAAATAACTTGTCACCAAAGTCAGGCAGGAAGGTCACCATATTTGCTTTCCACCTCAGCCTCAATCCCCTCTGTTACCCAAAGGACCCCAATGGTCAATCTTTTTTTTTTTTTTTTTGGTTTTTCGAGACAGGGTTTCTCTGTATAGCCCGGGCTGTCCTGGAACTCACTCTGTAGACCAGGCTGGCCTCGAACTCAGAAATCCGCCTGCCTCTGCCTCCCGAGTGCTGGGATTAAAGGCGTGCGCCACCACCGCCCGGCTTTGGTCCAATCTTTTACTGACCTCCCCATAGATTCGGAAAGTGCAGGTTTCTTCGCCCAACTCAATAGCAG